GGGAAAGAGAAAGGCTCTGTTTATTTTAGGCAGCATGCTCTTCTGTAAACCCAGCTGGTCCTGATATTTAACAGTTGACTATATCCAAGTAGTCATAAACATTGACTCAGTATGGTTACTGAGTATATCTGGAATGGGTTGGTGGCTGTATTGCCATGCAATGGAAAATTGTTGTTGTGTTTAAAGACATTATTTTTCTATTCTCCTAAAATGAGACTGGATGGCAATTCCTTCATGTGTGTGGTTTTTTTTTTTTTGTTTTTTTTTTTTTAAAAGAGTAAAACTTTAGCATGGTGTATACATCCACACATTCCCACACGGAAAAGTACTCCTTTTTGGGTTTGGGTCTTTTTTGTTCCCTTTTTAAGAATAGTAAATGTGACCGTAATTATTTTCATTGGCAAATAATACCTTATTATTTGTGATAAGTGTTCTTGATATTTAGATTGTGTTCATATATTAAATGGTCATATTTCTCTTTCAGTACAAATGGTTCACATCTAGCAACAAATCCACATGCCCACTTTGTCGAGAGACCTTTTTTTGAAATAAAAATGTCGGTGGTCTTTCTGTGAGCAAACTCGTAAATGAAGAGGAGGAGGCATTAAACTGTATGTTGAAAAAAGCTAATTACTTATTGGAAATAAGTTACTTTGAATTCTTGACTAGTGGGATATGATCCATATTTACCTCTGGACTGTTTTTTGTAAAGGTATAAAGATTCTTCTTTGATATAAAGAAATATATAAGAATAATTTATTTTAATTTGTATATTTGTAAGGTGTTAAGATATGTTAAAAATCCAGAAGCGATGTAGTTACCTCTGAAAAGTGGTGTTTAAGCCACAGCATAGTTGATTCAGTCCTCTTACTTTAGCTATATTCTAACATGAGGTTATGCGCTTAAGTCAGATCATGCCTCTTAATATACATACACGTGAATTTACCATAGGTAATATGAAGACTTGAATTTTTGATTATAGTAAATGTACATTTATAATAGTTCCTCCTATGGAAAAAATTGATATTGCTGTTATACATTAAAGTTAAGGCATGGAATTAAGGTGATTTACTTTGTGTTAAAAGAATAAAACCTAAACATAGCATGATCTAAATTAAGATGTTTATAAATTGAGCTTTCACCTCTAACAGTCTGGTTTTTGCAAAAAACCTCATCCATCGAGCAACCTGAAAACACGAAAACTCTGAAGCCCAAGGAAGTACAGAGAGAGCACAGTCCTTCCTGCCTGACAGTGGAAAAACACCACCTACTTATTATAGATAGGTTTTTAGAGAGAAGATACACACACTGATCAATTCATCTGTTTTCATTATTTCAGTTAATGTCTTCACCATCTGTCAAATAAGCTGTCAGTGAATTTCCACTGTCCTTCCACTGTCCAATAAGGACTTGTTTGCTAACTGAACATGACAGATGTATCGGAATGTAATATTGTCTGCATTTCACTATTCTTTTTTTTTTTTTTCCATGCCCTCCCTTTTTAACAGCAGTAGCATACGAATAGATTCTAATTTGGATGATATTGCACTTTGCTAGACTTCTTGGAAAAGTCAATAAAAGGGGAGGAATAAATGAATTTTTTCAGTTTTTATAATCTTTGGTTTAGTGTCTCTTTCTCTGTGTGATAGACTTTCAGAAATTAATAGTTTAAATTTTCAGATGAGTTTTTTGCATATGCAACTAGCTTTACCTCAACAGCTGCTCTTTAGATGCTCAATGTTTTCTCAAATTTAGTCTCTTTTAAAGGGACAGCTTAAAAAATAATTTTTAGCTGTCAGTAGTTTAAGTTTGTATTTTTAACATATAATGCTTGGTTTTCAGAAGAGAAATTTCTGTTACGTTTTTTAAGAAAGAGGGAAACATTAAAACTGGTGATAAAGTCTAACTGAAAACGCACACTAAGGAGCAAGCTGTATTGTTTTCATAACTGCTGTTACTAAAACTCTTGAGATCGTTTTTTCTTGCACCAGTTGTTCCAAAAAAGACTCGTTATTCCAAATGACTTTTTTGCAAGTTATATAAGGATGAAGAATTGGTTTTGACTAGGTATTGCTTGAAAAGAGCTAACTATCTTAACTCATCTAGCAGACCTTAACTTGTAAATTGCCTACGAGAAACAGCCTTTTAGAGAGATTTTTGTCTTGGTTCTGGTTGATGCAAGTCCAGGTGCTTGCAAAGCAGCAGTTAAGTCTTTTGACACTGGTACTTGCTGCTGCTGTATTTCGGGGGAAAAAAAGCCTACACAGACAGTCCGTATCTGCCATACAAT